TGATTCTAGTTCCGTGTTTCTTACCACATCTAGCAGTTACAGCTAAAATTCTCTTGAAAAGGCATAGATAGCTCAAGTTACAGAAACTATCACTCAAGATTAATATTCAAATGAAAGAAAGCATATTTGGCACTTATCTCTGTTTCTATGGCTCCCAGAGAAAGCTGACAGGATATGTTTACATTCAGAAAATTCTAATTACAGGCAAATAACTTAAAAACTCTAATCTGTTTCCTTTAGACATCTTTGAAGACAAGAAAAGGAAGATGGGTTAAAGATAAATTAGATAATTAAGCATAAAGTGAAAGACAACATTACAAAAATGAGCTTTTTATTGTTTTAAGAACTCCAAGGAGCTGTCTGAAAGGCTTTGGCACTAATTGAAAATAGGCTATAGAATCAATTGCTTCTGCAGTCAATGAGGAGGAACGTTTTAATTGAATTATAAGAAAATATATGCATTCTTCAAAATACTTTGACACTTGAGAAAATAGCCAGCACCTGGACTTATCTTTATCAGAAAGAATCAGACAGATGGACGCTGAACAAGTTCTCCTCATATTAGTATGACAACAGATGATTTATTTCAAACCCTCTTGTAGAAAACAGCAATACCTCAAAAGTTTTAAGAAGCAAAGTGCTTCTCATGTTAAAAGTAAATAAAACTCAGAAATGCTCCAAGAAGCAATCAAGAATAAACCCAATACTCTTACTTTTTCTCCACGCTACAAGATCAAGCATATTTGCAGAAAAGCCAAACACTGGATTAGATAACCAGCAACATGCAACAGTACCATATTTCACTGTTCAATAAGATTATAAAATAATTAGACTACATAAAGGATTTGTAAATATATGTATTACCAAGTAAGTGATTTTTATCATTTAGCATTATCTGTTTCCTTGGCATTATCTGAAGAAGATTTAATGGTGACTGTGATTATAAATCTGCTGATAGAACATCTAGTCTAACTTCGATGAAAGTCAAACACAAGGGCCACACTCAAGACCCTTTCATTACAAGAGCCAACAAGAAAAGAGAAAAAAATTGGTGTGAATCTTCTCAGTGTGTGAAATTCATGAGTTAGCAGTGTTTACATACACTATAATACGTGCTAAAACTAGACTTGGTCTTAGTCTGCTATATGTAAGTCAGTGTTTATTCAAAAGCGAAGACTAAACTACCTGCCTTGATTATAAAGGAACCCCCTACACCAGCACTCGGCCAACGCTTTGCTAGTTTTCTGATAGTGCTATCTTATTGAGTTGTATACCTAGGAAAAACTAAATGGTGCCATTCATCAGCAAAAGGAGCACTACATCCCAAAATCTTATCTCCAGTTGCACACCTGACATACAGCAAAGTTGCTTTACGGTAGTTTAAAGGCCAGTGTGCAGATAACCTTAGACAGAGAAGTCTAAGTTAATCACACAGTTGGACAACTGACGTTATCCATAAGTTATTTTGATACAATGGCACTAGCATGCTAATTTATGTGATGTCCATTTTCTTATCATGGATTGGAAACAGCTTCACATAAAACAAAATTCTAACATATCATACGGACTTAGCATATAGTCTATGCTAATTGCTTTTGGCGTATTTCCCTTTGTAACAATTTTGCCAAGTCTCAGAGATGCTAAATGTAGCTTTGAGAATGTTTCAAAACAAAGTATTTTTCCTCAACATGAAATATAGTAATTTTAATGAGAAATAATCAAATTAATTTTAATACATTTATTTATGCAACCATCCAATTAGTCTATATTCAGGCAGAATACAGTCTGCATCGGCACTTATTCAAATACAAATGGTTGCCACATATGAAGAATTATTACAAAAATCTAGCACAAATTGCACAAATTTCAGAATTTAGGACTAAGAAACTCATTACAAAGTTATGCTGAAGCTAAACAATACAAATTCAAAGAAAAAATTTGAGTATGCCCTTCTGAAGATAGAACTCAGTGTACAAACTCATTCTTTTGCCGTCTCTCAAGGGATTCTTTGAATCATTTCTCAACTAAGGACTCTATGAAGACTTTACAGCCATTAAACTTATTGGTTCTGCCCTTTATTCTTCAGCCAGTCTGGGAGCTAAAACAGACAGCTATCTCCAGTTCTTACAAAAACAACATCTTAGGTTAGGATAAGCAGTCTGTTAAGGTGCGCAAACTCACATATAATATGACTATTATTATTTAATTATATTTTAGGTCAATTTCTGTTAAATCAATTTCTGTTAAACTTAATTACATCCCTCTATGGCTTTAAACTGGGGCAGCTTCTATTAAGTTTACTTTCTCCTGGGACTTTCACAGTAAAGACAAATGATAAAGGTCCAGTTACTAAATGAGGGCAGCTATTAAATAAGGCCGGCTTGTATTAAAGCTGGAAGGTAAAGATGTAGATACTAGATGAGATTACCCCCTGGTAAAAGAAATGCCTTGTATGGAAAAAAAAAAACTGGGGAAAGATGAGAGAGAAGGCAACAAACTTCGGTCAGCAATTCCTTTAAGATACCAGGCTGCAATCTAACAGAATGTCCAAAATTCTATAGTAACTTCCTGTGAAGTGGGTACAGGCTTCCCCCTAATGAAAGGAGAGAAAACAAAGCACAACCTCTGGTTCCAGTGACCACGAAGTAAAACCGTACCTTGAAAGAACCTGCAATCTAATTCCAGGTAGTTGTTGATAAATAAAAAATCTATTAGCATTTTTATAGAAGATTAAGAAACATATTGCAGTACAGTTTAGGACTACAACATACCCTGAGCTTAAACAAATTTTTGAAATGACAAACTTAGAGTTTGTGGTTTTTGGTTAGTTGATTGTTTTTTTATACTATGGAAGTTCTAAAAATCAGTTTATTTTTTTACTGTGGTTGCAGTACTATTCGTGGAGAAACTCAGTTCTTTACTTTCACGGTCACAGCACTAATGCATACAGTCTGATGAATGTGGCTGTAAGAAATGATAAAATAATTGCATTGCCTCAATTACCATGGTTCTGTTGTTTCTTGCTGTTCTTGAGGTGTGACACACTCAAAGGCAGTTTAATCTGAATGCACAAGTATAACAAGGGGCTCTGTCCATAAACACATACATTTCTATAATGCTGAAGCTGAAATAAAACTCAGCCAGTTCATAAATGCGCTCCTTTCAAACAATGTAAATTGCTGTATTTGATATATACAGAGATACCTATTAGCAATGAAGTTGTTCTCTCCCTTTTGATGTACTAGGGGATGGAAATATGCAGAGAATCCCTCCTCCACCTTGTTCAGTATTCCTAGTAGGAAGCACACCATGCCACCTTGGGGCCAAAGCAGTTGGCAGCAACTTAGCCCAGTGACAGGAATAATCTGTTTGGCTGAGGGCCTACACCTGATCTTCACTAAGCATCTGTTAGATTTAATCAAAATAATGTTGAAGATAATATACATATTAGTTCCAAATATACCTGAGCAAAAGATTACTGCAGCAATTCTTGGTTGGACTTGAAAAGTGAAGAATTTTTAAAACTGAGAGGGTATGGTCTATTTGACCAAATTTTCTAGAAAACTCATTTTTATCTTTTTGGTTTTTTTTTTTTTTAATCTGAAAGACAGATTTGATTTTATTTTTTAATCTGATAGTTAGAAATTATTCTCTGAATTTCAGAAGGCAGAATTCAAATTAGCAGAATATCAATATACCAATAGCCAAGCAAGAGCTCGTACACGCCAACTTTGACACAGTTTCAAGTACCTAAAATTGCACCATTCATCTTACCTGTTAAAGACAAGAAACATATTGATTAAAATATCTATACAATTATAGGCACTGTTGTGTGGTTTGTTTTTTTTTAATGAACTGAAAGAAATATTAGGGAATTCTGAACAAGAAGATACGACAGATGTTTTGAAGATACACTTGAAAAGATTTTTTAAATTTAGTTTTGCAGAGTTGTAATCTAACATTCTGTGCAAAAATACATTTAAATACACCATGGATAGGCAGTTATCAGTACATTTCACTACATCTAACAATGTAATGCAAGAGTTAGTTCAGCGCTATGACAAAGAGGACACCAACAATACCAACAATAATTGGGGAAAAATAATATAAATTAATATGTAGCATTTAAGAAAGTTGGATAATTTGTGTTTTACATACAGAAATTGCATGTGCTGTTTTCTGTAACAGAATTCTGATTGAATTGTCTATGTCATGTGTCCTACATGAGACTTCCAGAATATGAATTCTAAAGACCTATTGTCTTTCTTAAGGCCTGAGGTCTGCCCACACATCCACAGTTGAGAGTCCTTAGGCCTAATGAGGTTCTGATGTACTGTGAATGTTCTGGTACTTAAACCAATGTGTACAGAATCCATGTGAGCCTTTGTTTTACAGGCCTGCTCTTCTCAACACAAGTTTCTTTGTTTTCTTAAATAGACTTTGATCTTCCTTCTATAGTGTACAGTCACCAATGAACCAGAATGAGAAGCTGGGATACCGGTACACCAGGGCTTTAATTTTTTTCCCAAATGATTATAAGAACTTGAGTATAGGTAAATAACAAAGTCAATTAATATTCACACAATGGCTCATGAACGTAAGTTAGACTCAAACACACAACTTTCATACTTTGTCAATAATCAATTTTCAAAACAAAATAACAACAAAAAAATCCAGTTCAACAGATCACATTTATAGCATAATGATCTATTAGTTTTTGAATATAGGTGAAGAGGCAAATCCTCTATTATTAACCTGGTACAAGCAGGAATTTCCAGTTAATTCAAAGAAATGAGAATTCATAACGGTCAAAATGAGAAGAGAACGTAGCACAACATGCATAGGACTAGAATTAAAGAGAACAATGACTGAAACATACACATATATTTGATAATGGAAGGGATCCTACACTTAAACAAATAGTTTAATTAGCAACATCATTTTTTCCAAGTAAAAGAAAAGGAAATTAAGGTTCTATCACATGAAGTTTTTATCTTTACCTGACAATCTCATTATTCAGAGAAATGGCTCCCAGGTACTTCTTCAGTGCATAGTAATTATGGGTATATTTTCGGACATAATACCCTCTCCATCTCTTCTGAATCTACAAGAAATAAAGACTTGTTTAGTATATTTCAAATTGAAAGTTTTTATGTGTATGAAATAACTGTTATATTTCCCAAAGAATAGGATGTCCTTAAAAGCAATATCAAGAAGAGGCACCACTACCTTTCAGTGAAGAAAATGCAGGTAAGATGTAACATATTGTAGTTAAATGGTGATATGAATTTACTATTAAATGCCAACATTATCAACTAATATCAAATTTTAAGTAACTGTTTATGTTGCATCTGTTTATGTTGTTAAGAAACATCTGCTATTATTAACAATGCTGCTAGTGGCATTGCTTCATGTCAGAATGGTAAAAAGAAGAGGTGCCTTTTTTTGAAATTACAGGATCTTTACACTCTTTTGTGCTCTGGATATGTTATAAACTGAAAGAAAGACTTCCAGTAACTTAGTGAATAAGGATTTCTGAAAATATCATTTACAAACTGTTAGTCTTTCCCATATAAGATGATGTATGTCTGTTTGTTACACATTAATTACAATCTTCTAACAAAACGCTATTCCTTCTGCCTAACAGATGAAGCTTATACCAGAAAAGGAAACCACTTTATCTGTAGTTAATTCTGACATTGTGGTAAGAACAGAAATTATGTAGTGTCCTTCATGAGAAAGGATTCAGCTTAATGCATTTTAAAATGCATCAGTTTCAAAAAAAGACAGTTCAGTCTCTCCCCAAGTATTGGCTCTCTCCAAGTATTTAGTCTAACAAAACAGTTTAAACATTCCCTCAATATGTGAAAATACTAATTATGACGTTTCTGAAACAATTACAAGTTTACTGGCTATATATTTTGTGGAAAGGGAAGGGAAGCATTAATTATCACAACCACCATTTGCTAGTCATATCTATCCCTCTGTACTGCATCACATATACTGATGCTGCAGGAAAACACAACTTCTTTTCAGTCATGTTGAGGGCTGTTTTCAGACTTCATTATCTACATTGTAACAGATCAGTGTACTTTGTATCAGTAAATCTCAAAAATAGATTCACAAACTTCTTGTCCTCAGTGTCTGAATTTCTCTTTATTTACATTCTTCCACCCTTGAATTTATCCACCTAAATTATTATTTAGTTTCTTCTTTGTATTGTTTCTCTTGCTTCCAAATGTATTTCAAAATTAATTTCTCAATTTCCATCTTTAGTTCTGCCTTACTTTATTTCTGCTCCAGTTCACACCTCATGATCTTTGCAGCTTTGAAATCTTATGAGACATAAGAGCAGAACAACAAAATCTACTAAATAAATAATAATAATAAAAAAAGTCTGAGGTCTTGCTATCGAGGAGCAACTTCATGGTTAGAAGCTATCCATCTTCACGAGATGTATTGAAAAAAAGAAGAAGATTCAGATTTGCCAAGAGCTCTCCTTTTCCTGTTTAGAGGCCTCTGGCCTCTAAATGTTATAAGAAATGCAACTCTTCACTGTGTCTACAAAGAACGTTTTTCTTGTTTTCCTTCTGCATCAACTCTTCTCCTTCCAGAACCTCAGAAGCAAGCTACAACTTTTTAAGTGGAGTGAATCCTTTTTTTGCTACTTTGTTATTGCTGCTATTGACTGTTTTCTTTCCCTAACTTCTATTCCAAAGTTGCATAACGCAGAAGAGGCAGAAAGAGAATCACAAACTGTGCTTGATTTGGGAAAGAAAGCAAGGGGGGAAAAGGCTGCCACTTGCTCAAATCACAAATCAGACTCTGCTCAGAGTGACTTCAAGTTTGGGCAGAGCTCTTAGGAAACAGGCAGAACTGTCTCTATTCCTTCCAGCTCCTTTGCAGTCGAACTGTGTATCGCCAACTGTGGTAACAAAAGTTACTGTAATTTTGCAACTGCCACCACTTCCTGTGTGAAAATAATAACGTACTGGAACCATCTATATGAAGATTAATTAACAACTGCATAATTTTAAACATTGCCTCTGGTATCATTCTTCAAGCACAAAACTACTGTTTAAGGTAAAAACAGGCATTTAATCTAACCTGATAATATCTAGTGGTACAGTTATTATTATCTCTTTATGTAAGATATAGTAAGTATGATAAGAAAGCTTGCACTAAGTCTGTGAGTGATATGTCACAAAAAAGTAAAATGATTCACTAAAGCTATGAGGAATAATATTTACTTTTAGATTTAGCATTCCCTTTGTGCACCACCATGCTTTTCCTCTCTTCTTAAATGAGACTCAAAACTAATATAAGAAGCTGGTGTTTTCTTTTACCTATGTGTTGTTTCTTTGTTTTTAATAAATAAATAATAAGAGTTCAATCTCTAGACATTGATAGAAATAAATGTCATGTAATCAGCTGAACACAGGAGCAAGAAAGGTTCACCCAAAACATGCTTTCTTTGCACAAAATTGTAGTAAATTTCATAGTCTTTACAACTCCCTTTCTCACACACAAGTGCATCAGGTTAAAAAGGGATATAGGAAGAGGAAAGCATGAGCATGCCTTCAGAGATGTGGGATTAAGCAAAATCCTTTGCATGTGAATAAGGATCTTAGCTTTGTTTCTCTGTTTGGCTTCAATATTTCTCAACAAGAGTAACTTGGCTCCCATATAGCTGTGCGCTCATTAATGCAGGATTATGGTCCCTTTGAAACTATTTCTGACAGTCTTCACCTTCCAGCTATAAATGCAGAACTGGATATTTGTTGGTTAAAGGATCAAAACCCAAAAAGAGTAAAATTGCATAAACCTATAATTAACTCCAATAGGCTCAGTGTACCAATTAAACATCACATTCTGACTTTATTTACACCACTTCCTGTCTATAATGGCCTCACTGAATGAATAATAGGAAACAAACACTGCATTATATCACAGATTATTTTATGCTGCATAAATTGCTCTGAAAATTATGCCTCCTATCTATTGCCATGGAAACTACAACAGTTACAAAAAGCACAATAAAACTATTTGATAGAGCGAATTCACAGCTACAAAACACATTTTTTCAACATAATCACTATCATTAACTAAGTGTTTTCACCAGTAATGAACAAGAGCCTGCGTGCTGTGCTTGTTAATATTTGCTTGACCATTTGGTAAGCAGCTTGTGTGTCACATCACTATCACCACTGCTGAGACTCAGTATCCACCAATTCATTGTGCTCACAGCCACTGCTGTTTGGTCTCCATAAATGTTTGGCAAGCATTGATGAATGTCAATGGATGCCATTTTTTCCACATGGAGTAATACAATTCCACTTATTTGGCTTCATAAGCACTTCCATGTCAGACGCCATTTTGTCAGGCTGCCCCTTGGCTGCCATCTTGCGGTAACAAAACGTAATGAAACACTGGTAGGAAGGCTCAACTGCTACTGCCATACCACCAACATCCACCTCTGCTGTCGTGGGCTAACATAATAAAATTACTTTAGGAGTAGCACTTGTTGATTTCTACTTCACTAATTATATGTGTCAGAAATCAGAAGACTGAAGCCTAATCTCTTTGGAAAAGAGCACTTTACACAGCTATGTTAATGAGGCTCTTGTAACGTGAACATTCTAAATGTATGCTTAATAAATGCTAAATAATGGGCAAGTGTTATTTTGGTAGTAATGTGACATCATAATTTGGTGCCTTTTGTCTTGCACCTGTTTGGTCTGATGAAACACGGGCAGTGTGGGCAACATGTTCCAAACAATGACGCCATCATAGCAGCTTTGAAACAGTGGCTCACCTCATCCAGTGCAGATTTTTATGAGCATGGGGTGCAGGCTCTTGTTCATCACTAGCAAATATACAAACCTAATGGTGGTAACTGTTGAAAAATAATTTTGTAGCCAAGAATTTGTGCTATCAAACTGTGTTACTGTGCTATTTGTACCTGTTGTCATTTCCAGGGAAATAAACAAGAGGCATTATTTTCGGAGTGACTTATAACGTATTACAACTATATTTCTTTATAATTCCAAGGTGAATGTTTGAAAATTTCTTGGAAAAAAAGAGGCAAGTGTGTATGCCCTTCAAAGTAATTAGCAAGTTTCAACAGTGATTGGTACAAAACAATTATTGTCATTGATCAGCACTGAACAGATAATTTTAAACAAAGTCATTGTGTGCTCAGCAGATTACAGCTTGTTAACGGGCAAGTTCTAAATGACCTCTTAAGCTAGTCAAATCAATGATGCATATTCCTCATTAAGTAACATCAAAATGTAAGTGGTCTTATAAATAACGTTTATTTTAAGCACTAAAACAAATGGCAAAACCTTGATATATCAAAAGCCATCTGCTCATGAAAATATTTTTTTTTTCCCATGGATTATTTTTGCAGCTGAAAATTTATAGCATCTTAAATCTTTTAGGAGGGAGAATCATGTTGCAAAGTAGTGCTCAAAAGTAAAATTAATTAAAACAAGTTCTTTCTTTTAACTCACAAGGATGAAACTGACAGTTCTGGTTACAAGTAAATGCAATACAGGGAGACAGAGATGTAACTGACTTCAAAACTGTGAGCATGTGTAATAATTCTAATATCAAAATCAAAAATGTCTTTTCGACCAGTGACTGGAAACCAAAATAAATCATTTAATAATATTATGAAGCAAAAGTTAATCATCTAATACAAAAAATATACACAGTTAATGCTGTATTTTCAAAACACTGAGGCATTTTAATCGTGAATCCAGTCCATTATGTGTGAACGCAAGGCACTGTTGGCTTAGGAAATTTGAATTCTGGCCATACAATTTCCTTGATCAAACTCAACAGGCCTTAGTTGTTGTTGTTCTGTATTTCTGTTAGCTTTTCAATAACCAGATAATGGCAAAAAAACACATTCAGTGTTTCAGAATTGTAGTATTTTAAATCTGCTCTGTAGATATGGCTGCAAAAGATAAAGAGAGGTGAGAACTGGATTCTGATATTTGCAGTGAAATAATGGTCTGTTCTCTTGTTTTCTACTGATTTAAATTTCCATTAAAGAAAAGGACGACTGAAAAAATGCTACTTTGAAGATTTATATCACCTAATGATTCAACATTATATTTCCATTACAAATGAATGAGAACACATTCAATTTCAAAAATGAAAGACCAAATGCAAAACACTAGTTGACTAGAATATGTAATTACCTTTGAAATTTGGTCTTCAAGTGCCTTCCAAAAGTACATAGCTAACTTTTGAGAGAGGACTTACACCATATTTTTTCCCACTGATTTTAACTGCATGAATACATAGCATTTACCCTCTATAGAATAATTGCAAGCCAGCTAACTAAAGAATAAACTAAAGCAAATTAGTGCATTTTTTGAACAATTAGATTGCTGTAAAACATCTTTAGCTCTCTAAAATACACTAAATGAAAGATTCTTGTGCTTTTGGGAGAAACACCACCAACTCAAAAACCTAATGGGAATCTAATGACACAGCTTTTGATTCTGGGAGACAAGAAAGGCCACAGTTCTGGGAGTCTTTCTACTTCATAAGAATCTCCCTGGCTTACTCTCCAAATCCATCATATCCCTTCGTTTGGTAGAATCCAAAATGTAATATGCCTTGCCTGGTCTTGCCTAGGCCTTTAAAGTAAAGCACATTTTGTTGTTTTTTCCCCCAGTATAAAAGAAGTAAAGGAGGCAAAAAGATTTCATCTCAAGGATTATCTCATGTCCTTACTCCTTACCTTGTTTGCTTTATTTGTTCAAATACAGTTCCAGAGTCCAGGAAAAAAAAAAATGCTAATTTTTGTTTAATATATTTTGCAGCTTTCCCATGACAACTGTATATTTATTAAACTTCAAGGACTGTTTACTCACTTCTTCATCAATCACAAATCACTCAAAATATCATCAATGAGATCAGAGCAGCTCTAACCTATGCCTGGCAGTGAACTCATCCAGTACAAAGTAACTCTTCTGACATTCAATGCATCATTTGTAGAATAGTAATGAAAGAATAAGCACAGCTACTTTAATGAACATTAAACTTCTATTGTTTGTCAGAATTTTAAGTATATGTCTACATTTGTAAGAATACTCCCAAACAAAGTGTTTGTTTTATCATCATAGATGGTAAGGTACAATGAACATTTAATGGGGCAAGGCACACACAAATATCTTCAATTCAGCTACAGTTTTCAAATATAACTCAGGCTACTGAGAGTAACTTTAATTTTTAACTACGTACTATTTCCCACTGTTGCCATCAGCATATCAATCAAGTGTATATTATTCTGGTTTGCTCATTTTATTAAAAGCAAATTCGGAGCACAATTGACTTTTCATTTGTTTAACAAGTGAAGAAATATTTACCCTGACAGCCATTTCATTGTAGAAATTCATCTTCATAATAAAATATGCTGTCTGTGAATCAAGGAAAAAAAAGATGGCATATATTTCAGTTAACACAAAGACAGTGCTCCTATTTTTACATATAAAAGATAAGAATCTTTATACATAATACATAATAAGAGTCCTAGGCTTAGAGAGAATAAAATCAAACTTTGTATTGAAGAGATAGGCTTCCTAATACATAATGCAGGCTTAACCAGAAAAATCTATGGTAGTCAAACTAGGAGCTAATGGAGATATATGATCATAAAATGCTCTCCGCTGAGTTTGATAATCAATGGTGCTCTACTGAGAGTAGAATAACAAAGCAGAAATATTCACAAGTGCTGGTGACACATAGTATTGTATGATTTATTCACTGGGGTTCTTTTAGCCAAAACTCACAGAAACATAAAAGGAATTCATATTTCAAGACGTCTGGTTTAATGAAAAATTCAAAGAAATGCTGTCTTCAGTCGAAATCGTTCAAGGATACGGATGCAGTGATGGAGCAAAATTGTACCTTCCAACCATCTGTACTAAATGTTATGTACTTAGCTGTCTCCCGAGTAATCCTTGGGAATTTTGTTTCATTTAATATTCATTTTAACATCATAAAATCATAAATACAATGATACCACGTTACAGTGAATCCCCTGATATAGAAAACATTTCCTGAAGTCCTGGTTTCCTTCCAATAAAGTAGAATTCCTTTCATAGTGAACGAATCCCCTATTATACTAAGCAATCACTTGGCAGCATAGGTTATTTTAATGGATACATCACTTTAAACTAAGCTTTCACATCTGTTCCGCCCTCTAATTACAAATGCAAAATGAACATAATTCACAATTGTATCATAAAAAGTAAAATATAAGTACTTTGAATGCAAGAGTATGTCCTTTATTTAGCACAACATGCAGCTTTTATGTTTTTCTCATGTTTTAGACACAAATCAAAGGCAAAAGTGCTTTCCCCTGATATTGTGATTTTCTCCCCCATGGCAAACAGGAATTCACTATAAAAGGGTTTCACCGTAATTAGTGTTATTTGAATTGCCTAGTCTGATCCAAAGCAAATTGTCTGTGGAGAGCAGCAGGACTGGATTATTTATCAACAGTCTGGGCAATTAAGAAACAGTTGGCTGCAATATGTTATTTACAAATGAACACAATGATGCTACTTCATTTTAAATTCTCTTTCTTCATTACATTAAGCAAGGCATAATTCCTGCAGTTTAATTAAGGTGCATTTTAAATGCTTGCTTTAATATCATACCAATCTATTAGTAATAGATACAGGAGTAAATATATTTCCTAAATGAAAGAAAAATGCAAAACTGCTAAATCTCAAAAAAAAAAATGTTTCCCTTATATATGTATAAGCATATACACAAGTACACTGATGTATATTTTATATATTTGAGGGATTCACAGTTCCAAATGTATGAATTAGAATAAATAGCAGGCCCTATCTTCACTTTTCTCTATGTAACTACTTTCTAAGTGCTGCTAACTGTAGATATCTAAGCATGTTCTTAAACTCTTCAGTTAAATTGGTATAAGTTTGCTTTTCAGCTCATCTTTTCTTTCTTTGGAAGAGAATATAAGAGTTGCAGTACCACCAAATAGCTTAAATATGATAAAGAGTTTCTCTCCATCAGTGATTAAATTAACCAATCTCACACTTTTTTGTTTTCCTCACACTTGAAGGCCTTGAGCGCTTTGGTTTGAATGATTCCAGTTCACTGCAGAACCTAACTTATCATCAGTGCGCTCTTTATGTCACTGGTAGTGACTTTCCCTTTCCCCCTGAACTTAGAGAAGTACTGAAGAGCTTTGCAAAAACACCTCCCTATGACAGTCTATTTACAGTCAGCTAGACTGCAAATACACACCTCACACAGACATGACAAATCTGTACCTTACGCTACCACTACTCAACAAAATCACTCATAACAGGACGGGAATTACACATTCCTGCTTTTACTCAGCTCTGCTCTAAATCACAAGTCAGTCAAATGGAGAAGTGCTCATATCACTTCATTTCACAGTTTGCTTCTCTTGTGAATTCTGATCTAATCTTGATTAGAATACGACACAGTAAACTCTGCTTTTACAAGTGACAGATAATGTGTTCATCCCTTTTCACAAAAATATAAGCATTATTTCGTGCTTCAATTCAAGTCTGTATTTACATTCTTTCTAGTAAACAAAATATTATCTTTGAATCCAAGGTCCTCTCTTATCCAGAAGACACCTGCTTATGTCTACTTTTCTCATGCTTAAGTGCAATTTCCTGCATTTCTGTTTGTGATCATTGCCTCTCATCATATCATTGGACACCAATTTCAAGGCTACGTTTTCATGCTGACTCTCTGAGAAAAACTATCTCACTATCCCATCCACATGAACCACCGCCACCATTTCCACTACGTAGTCTTTGTATCTATCCTTGAGGTTTATGAACAGATCTCCCTAATAGTTTACTGTAAAGGCTATGATTGCAAAATTGAATCCTTTTGTGTGTAAACTGCTGTGCTACGCTTAATCTTTCTCCTTTTTTACTATTTAAAAACACGCTGGGGGATCACTTACAAATATTTTCTGATTGTGATTAGTGTTTTCATTGCATTTATAGAGATAATGCGAGGTGACAATTTCAAAGAACCAGAATTGTGGTTGCAAACAGACATAGAGAAGAAAAATCATTTGGTCTGAGTCAATATACTTTTTTAATAGAAGAAATAAGCGTTTGACTAATTCCTGTTGATCTGGGAATTCAAAACTGGCTACTGAGTTGAAGCTAAACTATTTAAGATGGTTTCAAACTATGTACCATAAAAAACTTTTTACATATACATATTCTTCCAAAGGGAGCTGAAAACAAGCCCATCATGCATACCAACTTCATTTAATAACGAAATGTTAGAATTCCATTTGCCTCAATAGGCGATTTCTTGTCTTTGGGAAGTACCATAAAATGGAGCACAGAGATATAGACTGATTCTTGTTTTGATGTTTGCCTCGTTTGAAAACTCATCCTTTCCTGCAGGTACTTAAAGACTTTCAAAACCTAGTACTACCAATCTAACAAAGGCATTAAGAAACTTCTAGTAGCTCAGTTCTTAATCTAAACTTTTTAAGAAAGAAACATTTTTACCAAAGCTGCTATAATTAGAATATAGAAAGCTCCATAGCTTTGGTCACATAAACACTATAAATAGATTTTTATAAAGTTAATGAATGTTAAAAATCAACAAAAGAGGCACTAGAGGAATAACAAATGAAATACTAGTAGTGATGCACATATGGACAGCCAATCTGATGAGCCTCAGCCTTTGTTATTTTCCGCATCAGTACCACTCACATTTCACAATTTTGAATATAATCATTAAAATGATTTACTATCTATGAATCATGGGTATTTTGTGCATATGGTTTGCCTTGTTTGCTGGCAGCAGATACCAATACAGTCATTATCAGCAGAGAAATTTTGAAGTGACCAAATTTTTTTGTGTTTAAGAAACAATCACGTCAAACATATTACCACACATTTCATTATCGTGAGTCATTACAACTACTGTTAGCAAGAGTTCAGAGTGAACATCAAGTGATCTTTTAACTGAAAAATTGCATTTAACTGCTGATAAGATTTTTGTTTCATTTTAAAATTTTCCAAATTCACCCAGTCACTGAGTGTGCAAAAATAAGGGTGAATACAGGGAATGAACTTGAACTTTGTGTCTAAATACAGTTTGAGAACAGACAACATAGAATATAGCAGACTAAAGGGACAAAATTATCTGCTACTTGTGTAGTTTTCAGGTTGGCTTCCAATCAGGCTGGGCTATTCAGTCCTCTCCAAAAAGTCAGGAAGCACAAATGGAGGCATTTGAGGGAAATTATGGTTTTCTATGCTGATTGCTCTATGTTGCTCGCTGTCATGATTCTGTTTCTCTAAACTTCTGGCTAATATTGGACGAATGCCAGAAACTGGATGGATTTGTTGTATAATTTTGAATATGTTTTAAGTGGGTGTGCTTAAGGCTTTGTCATAGATAACAGCACAGAAACCAAACTTCCCTAAATTCAAGGACAACATTCAGTGAAGCTTTTTTTTAAATTATTATTATTTTTCAATTTATTTTAAAGCAGAATCCAGTCCAACTACACAGCTATCTAGCCTTAAATTAATTAAATTAGCCTTTACTTAATTCAATTAACAATAATAGAAGTGTTTTGGAAGATGGACTGAGAATCACAGCCTGGAAGGATGATATAATTAAGTTAAGCCAGGTAAGCTGGCTTAAATTTTACCGGAAGAGGTAAAATTTTAATTAAATGACTGATAATTGTAGGGGAGGAATAGACAAGTTCTAGGCATACAAGTCTGCAAGCATAAAAACATAGTTTAGTAGGAGGCATGGACATTAGCCTCTAAGATATGAGTTATAATGCCTCAGCTTTTTCCTTCGGCTTTACTTGTCAGTTTTGACTAAATACAACTATTAAAAATATCCATCAATAATAAGTGACTAACAAGCCAAAATTACTGCAAAATATTCACACAAATTGACAAATTACAGAAGTTAACTACACATTAAAAACTTTACTATTTTAAGTTAAAGATAAATTATCTCCTTCTTAATCTCCTAAACCTGCTAAAAAGGTTTCAGCTCGTATGCTGTCATATATTTTTGCCATCTTCCACTCTTTCAAGGGAATTAGATTGACTGTGATCCGCTGTGTGCCTTAAGGCAAAACCTCAAATACTTCAAGGTTCATTAAGTAAGAAATTTAAGCCACTAAAATATAGAACAGTGCTATGTAGAGATATGCGTTTATATTATTTTCAGAATTAGAGTTTCTACCAGCAAGAACAAACAAACAAAAAATCATCTTGAAACACTCCAGTCCTGCCATTAGCATCATGCAGGCAGGCTTCTACATGAGCAGATCTCATTGCTAGATTGGGAATTGATACTCCAGAGCTGCAAACACTTCAGAACTAACTTGACTATCATGAACAGGCTTACAAAAATGTATGGTGTTTTTCATTATAGTAACTGTTAAGTACATAACTGCATGCATCAAGAATCAAAGTTTCAGCTCCTAAATTTCAAGGCAAGGAAATGAATTGCTCTGTACTTTTTCCATAAATATGCAAACAAGATTTATAAACCCGGTTTTCTACCTTAATCATTTTTCTGAAGTATCTTCTGCTTTGATAACCTCTCCACCATTTCTGTATAGAAATCGCCATTTTGGTCAGATATCTAAAATTAAACATATTTAACAATATGTTAGTTTGAAAGATCACAACTGCAAATGCATTAATTCCTAATATTAAAAATAATGCATAGTGCTTTACCTATACATACTTCAAACTGAAGGCCACTGCAGACCTACTTCATACATATTTGTGCATGACTGCAGGCAAACATATACATGTGCACGCACATGCTTTACACACTTTTCAACTTATATACATACATTCACACACATTCACTTTACTTTTGGAAAAAATCTGTTACTGCAATCTCCCATATGTATAAACACACATACTACTTCCATTATCATTACAAAAGATTTATGAACTGGTTGTAAGAATGTAATTTGCAAGACAGCTGGTTCCGTGAGCTTTTTTAACCAACATATCTAACCACTTCAGAACCTGTACTGGGGACCTTTTGTACTACTTACCTATGAACATCTAACACAGAAACCACTCAGTACAGCTACAGTCACTTATTGGAGGTAGGCCTTCCCAGTACATGATTCAAAGCATGGCGGTAATTCAGGAGGGTTAATCAAAACGCTCACAACTGAATATACTGAAATTGTGCTCCTAAGTCCATCCATCTTCAGAAAGAGGGCATTCACTGAGCAGGATCACTCTGTACACAGAGGCAGAGTAAATCCTCTTCTCCACTTACTGATTTACTTACATGCTCATAACAATTACGCTGCTTTTTCTTATGTTACAAAAGCCATATGTGCTATTAGGTAGTACAGATGTGTGTTTAGAAGAGCATTTTCCTATAGAATACATTGGTAGAGACACTTGAGTTTTCACTTTCTTCTGCACCATGCTGTTGTCACTCATCTTAGAAAGAGAGGGGCACCAACTACTCTTGTCTGTCTTTGGAGGGGCTTTTGACATGGATGGTACAGCTGATATTCTGTGAAGGGCCAAAATACCTTGTTTCCCTGCTAAATACATGCATATGATGGCTGCATCCTGTGACAACACACATAACAATGGACAACAGATTACTAGTGGTTTGTTGTTGATTTTTTTTTTAAATAAGTGCAAATAATGGCTGTTCTTGGGAAAAATATTGGTCTTTAAGTGATTAATGCTATTCAGCCTAACAGTAATTTAGGATTAACATAATATGTCTGGGTGATACATAATAATTTGTGATAAGGGGTCAAACTGAAATATCTAATAACCCCTACCCCTCACAGTCTTAAGCTTTATAAGGATAGTGAAATTCAAGTAAATGAGTTGGACCAATTGGGCTTACATCCATGAAAAATGGAGCAGTTTCCTGGGAGAGGAATCAACAACACTTCCAAAAAACTTATCTAAATGTCATATATGGCATTTTACAGACCAAAGTAATTGTTTATGATTTCTGTTTTACAAATGGAGAAAAATATGTAATGAAACAATTCAAAAAATGACTTGGCCAAATTGAGCAGTGGAATTTAATTTTCTACAATATGAATTCAGTCACCAAATGCTCACTAGGCAATTTTTTTAAGGTCCACAGTAACTGAGAGATGAAAAGTCACTGCAAAAAGCATATCTGAGGAACATCCTCATCTCCCCATTCACACCAAGATCTCATAATTAATACTTCCTATCTATTAGGACCTATTAGTATAGTGTTGGTGGGACTGCTAATTCTATTCTAAAAGTTTGATTATTAATTGGTATCAAACAAATTGAAGTTAGTCACAGATAACGGGAAAGACTGGCAAATGCGTCCTGATGTGTAGTCATCACAAATGGGTCTCTGTAGCATGTGTATCCAAAACAATTATTACCTTCTCAATATGTGAGGTTGAGAAGTGAGTACTACTTGCAGTGGTGGGGCAGGTGACAGAAATAGGACCCAAGGCAATGGCATGGAGACATGTCCAGGCAGGGCCAGGTTGGGGATTAATTAGGAAACGGTTCTTCACCAGAAGGTGATGGGCATGGATCAGGCTGCCCAGTGGTCATGGCCCCGAGCTTCCAGAGATCAAGGATCATTTGGACAGTGCCCTCAGACATAGGGTTAGAATTTCAGGCGGTGCTATGTGGAACCAGGAGTTGGACTTGATCCTTGTGAATCCCTTCCAACTTGGAGCATTCTATGATTCTATTTCTGAAGATGGACTGTTTCTGTGCTACTTATTAGCTGCATATGAGAATCTTGACATTTTAATCACATTTGTTCTGAAAATCAAAAAAATTTTAGAGTAGAGTATACGTTTTAGTCATTTGATAGATTTTTTACTTTTAAAAACATTCTCATTTTATTAAAATCAAGAAATACCATGAGAAATTTTAGAAAGAAATTCAGAAATGAAACACAGATTAAAATATGTCTAGCACACTACCTCAGATAGGCTCGGACTCTGCATCCTCGAAACCAGCTCTGAATTTTGACAGCAGCTTTGTACACTGTTTTTCTGTCTTCATCCACAGATCTGATAATATAAGAAGGAGAAGTTAGTTATAGTAATTATAGAAAATATAAGAAGTAATAATACTCGTTAACATAACAATTCACTACCAAAACAGAAAATTCTTTCTAATTATTCCTTATTGTAGCTTGTGATCTTTTTCACTGGATTTTTGCATCCACAACTACAATTATATTTCCACACACTTCAATATTACTGCAGAAAAAAATAATTTAGTTTAGCTGTATAACATCAAGATAACAGAGTTAAGTCTCTGGAAGAGAATTAGTGACTCAGTGATAGGCTGTACCCAATTTTAAAGATTTTAAAATCAGTACAGAAAGAAGACTAAATAAAATCGAGAGATAAAAAAAAAGAACTTTATTAGGATTGGAATATAATGGAAAAACAGAAGAAACTGCGTTAGATCAATGCATGAATGAGCCCAAATTATGCTACGACTTAGTACAGAATTAAAATGATTTTAAAAGGATGTAAAAACTAAACATCACTGTATGCTACTGCAACCTTAAAGCACTAGAACATCTAGATGACATAAGATTTGCAAGAGTGCAAGCCTTATTCTCATACAGTACTGAATACCCATGTTATATTATGGGCCTCCTCAGTTGTAGCTGAAAAATACAGATAATTCTTTATTAATAATTAGGCCTGAATTATTACAAAGCGCTGTGTATGAAATTGGGTAGCTACAGAGATATTAAATAAATTAACTACAGTCAATGTCATCATTGTAAATACTGAGTGTTTATTAAGGATAAAAATTTTATTAAGGAGATCTAATTTTAATACATTTTTTTATGAACAATACTAGAAGTTTTATTTGTATATTGCCTGAACAATGATAGAATCCATGGTGACAGATATCTTGTCACAGACTTTTTTAATGAATATGAGCTTATATTACAGTACAAATGCAGAAGATTTAGACCTTTTAGCTGCTATCTTAGGAAGGAATTAAAAAAAGAGAAATACTGAAAAGAGGAATAAATGACTAAGAAAAGGTGAGAGACTAATATAAGAGAAAAATATTCATAGGAAAGAAATTAGATGCAGAAATTTCCAAATTTTGGAAGGCTTGTAATATCAGGATATGAAATCTGAATGTAGTCTAATAGGAAAAGGAAGCCAGGAGTTAGAAACAAATCGTGTAAGTAATTTGGACAGATTCCAAAGAGATGATCATGGGGATCTTTTTACACAGAATTATAGTACTCTATGCAACAGCTTATTGAGTCTTGACAGGACTTTGCACAACGGGAATTCAAAGATGTGGATTTTGGAGATAATGTAAAAATGAAATTGGTGTGTGCTGCAGGCCAGAAAGGAGGGAGCAAAAGGAAACGAAGTAGAAAACATGCTGGGACTGCAGCACTGACTAGTGTAGATGCTAAAGGAACTGATGATGAAGTGAGGATATAGAGAAAGAATTTGTTTTTAAGTTACTTGAGAAGAAAGGTGATCTACAGAGATACTGGTCAGGCAGATGAAGATGCAAGGTAGACTTGGGTGGAGAACTGATGACCTTGAAGTGATCTTCAAGAACTATTACCTGTCGAAGACTTATGTTACATTAGGTAGTGCAAGCGAAAAGTATGTGCAGAAATGGGGCGAGAAACACAAGCAAAAGGGCCTCATCATAAAGTTACTAAGTAATCCCAAGAGACAGTCCCTGCTTGTCTTCTTCCTGTGACTTGCTCTATTAGGAGAATAGTGACTGTGACAAAGCAAAAAGGCATAGGGAAACTAGGAATCTAAAAGAGACTAAAGATGACAGTTTTCAGAGAGTTTATTACAAGTTCCAGTGCTGAAGGGCTGAATCATTTTTATTTAAGCAGGTCCAGAACAGAGTTTTTCTTGCAGTTTAGTTTCCACTTTCAACTGGCCTTGTCAGCAAATAAGTGGTTTGGAGCATAAGTTGTGCAATATTATATCTACCGTCCTGATCAGATTGCACAGTTGCAAGACATTCAACTAGCCTTGAAGAGTCAAAAATACTTTTCAAATACTTTTTTTTTTTTTAAGATATATTAATGGTCAAAATCTGACATATAGATATTACAGGACATAAAGTAAGTTGTTGACAAAATAAGTGTGCTCACAGATCTTGTATATTCTAATGCTTATCATGACAAAGTGCATGCCTAATGCCTCTGTGCATTGTGTTATAATTGGACAAGACCTTCCCTAGGAAGGTACTTTCCCTAAGAAGACAGACAGTTTAGGAGACCCCATACTCTGACATAAAATGAAGTTCTGCATAAAGAATGACAGGAACATGATTAAGATCAGAAGAACAGCCAGGTTAAATCGAATGCTGGTCTAACCGCAATCAACAGGTGGGACGTTACAGCCATTGGCCTGCCCTGATCTTTAATGGAACAGATGTAGAGTCCTCAAACAGGAAATGCATTCTGAAAGATAAAGTTTTTCTAATTTGGGATTTACTTTCAGGCACTTCAATTACTGCACTCTGCCTGCAGCAGCAATTTCTAGCAAGAATACTTAGTTTTCACCAGGGTCCCATTAAGTCGAGTTGCTCTGGAGTTTCTACATGTTCTACAAAGTTCTGCCTTTAGGTTTTGACAGATAAGTAAAGAAAGACATGTATATTTATTTGTTTTTGTTTTTGTTTTTTTAATCTGTTCAGTACACGTAGACCTAAACCATTCAAGCTTTACTCCTGGAGGTACTTGGAAACAGCATAGTTAATACAAAAAAAAAAACCCAAAAACCAAAAAAAAAAAAAAAAAAAGCAAAAAAAAAAAAAGCCACCCAAAAAATAACAAAACCAAGTACTTTGCAATCTCTACTCTTCTGCACTTTCTGATGCTTCAGAGAAAGTTAAGTCTTTGGGAAACCTGATATTTCATGGCAGAATACTTCAAAACTGACTTCAAAAAGTGCTTTTTAAAAATACCACTGATTTCTGTATGAATACCATTCAACCATGTGGCTAATGAATGAACACACAGATTACCCACACTGGTACTCAGAGCTTCCCAGATTTGGCAATTTTAACAGATCCATTACTGTAAGTAGAATAGTTCTGCAGCAGAAATGAAAGCTGTTGTCTCACTTTGAACAAAATATTTCAGACTACTGCAAAACTGACACACTTCAATGCCCACAGTTTACTTGTTAAATTTAAAAGTTAAGCAAAAGATCTTCACATTTATGTAGCATTCACATCTTTATGTCCTTCATTCATTGGGCTCAGCTGAACAACCATTTTCAACTGTGTTTATGTATAATGAAGCAAAATGCTGAGAGGAACATTTAAAAATATGTCATAAATAATTTCATCATCATTTTTATTCCGAAAATGCAGAGTATGTCCAATGATTTAATGGGGCTGTGCTGTCTATAGAAGAATGCACCTCTGAGAGTACTTTGTCTCATCATTGCCTAAACATTACAAGGGGTTTTACAATTTCTGCCACTTCACAAAAGCAATGAATATGGAACTGGACTATTAATACTTTAAACAGACATGAAATCAGATGCAGCATTTTAGGGACATGGTTTAGTGGGCATGGTGGTGATGGGTTGGCAGTTTGACTAGGCAATCTTAGCAATCTTTACCAAACTTAATGATTCTGTGATTCTATCAAAATCTCTAAACAAATTCTTCTGATTTCTTTCAAGGTTTTACTGACAGCCTTGTTGAAGAAGTTCAAGATTTGCACACTAAAGAACAGAGATCAGATCACTGGTCAACCCTTTAGCTCAGCAGGAGTGTTTGAAGCCTCTAATTTAAATTCTCAGATGAAAATGCCTGAGTTTTAGGAAGCTGATGGATTATAGCCCATTCTTAAAAGCTTATTTTCAAGAAGATGTGCCAAAAACAAACACCAAAAACAAACAAACAAAAACCACCAGACATCAAGCATGCTGCCCGCTAATGGATTTCCATGTCTGACTCAGCCTACTCCTTCTAACCTGAAATGTATGAAATCCAAGAGAAGTCTGGAGACGCTCAAGGCCAGGTCCTGGGATGAGGTCCTAGGCAGCCTGATTTAGTGGTTGGCAACTCTGCCCATGGTAGGGGGACTGGACCTTGGTCTGTAAGACCCCTTCCAACCCAACCCATTCTGATTCCATGATAAGAGAAGGTCATATAGCCAAGTGCTGTACTGCTGCAACACTATGAACTGGGGTTCAGCAAAAGAACAAGTAACAGAACACTTCATATATTAACTTCAACTCTTAACTTTTAGTAATGTTACAGTTGTGTTATTGATGCTAATGGTGCTGTAATTCGTTTCTGAAAGAAAAGCTGCATTAAATAGTGAAGAAAAACAACTATCCTAAATATGTGAGTTTTAGTGTTAACCGTGCACTAATAAGTACAGTGCATTTGGCTTCACAGTACAAATTCACATAAGTAATATAGTAGGTTTTAAATAAAATAGGTCTTAAAACACCTCATTTCCTAAAACATTTCCTAAAATGTGACATGTTACAAGTTGTCTGCTGCCTTTGCTGTCATAAAACCCCTTAGAATCCCTGCGCCAAGGAAATGGCAACAGGTGGCCTGGGCAGACGGTGCTGCCTAGAACAGGTGTCTCTCTCTCCTTTGATGGAGAAACATAAAACTTGTCATGGGTGCTGCAGAGGACCGACGTCCAGAACCAAAAGAACAAGGGCCAAAGTCAAACTCCATGATCTGACATAGCAACAAGGCAAAGTTTCAAACGCTTAAGCATCTGTGGATCTTAAGCATCAGCTCTCTCAACGACTTTCAGACTCTTAAAGTGAGTAAATAAATAGATAGGTAAACAAATAACCGGACCCTTCAGGGAACCTGCTGCTCTCTTCCTTCGGACCGGCCGGCAGCACTGAGGGGGACGGTAACGCCCGCCGCTTTGGGCAGGAACAGCCGCCATCTCACAGCCGGGGCTGGCAGCGGTACAGGCGGCCCTAACCCAGCGCCAGGATGCGCGTCCCATCCCGCTGGGGTTACCTGTTCTTGAGGAAATACTCCTCCCGCAGCCGCGAGAGCCTCGCCTCCAGCCGAACCAGCGCGGCCATGCTCCCCCCGCCCTTCCGACGCCACAGCCGCCATGGCAACGGGGCCGCACCACTCTGCGAGCCCGCGGGGAGGAGCGGCGTATCTTGCGGCGCTGCCGGCCAGGAGTGGAGGACGCGAGGACGGCGGGAGCGCCGCGGCGCGGGAGCCGTGAGGGACCGTAAGCACGGCACGGGCTGCGGGAGGGCGCGTGCGGCGGTGCGGACGGAGAGGGGGAGAGACGAGATGGTCGCGGCCGCCTTCCTGCCGCAGCCGCGGCCGCTTCCGGGCTCTCATCATGGGGGACTGAGGAGCAGCGCCGGTCGCCCGCGTCCTCCCCGTCCGGCCCTTGCCGCCAGCCCCCGACCCCGTGGCGGCTTCCCTCGGCTCAGTCTCTGCGAAGCGGCGCCAGCCTCCCTGGGGAGCGGCCGGGGCAGGCGCCGGGTTCATGTTCCGGGTCGCCGAGCCCAACCCGACCCGAGCTCCGGCAGCGAGGAAGAGCTGGTGAGGCCGGGCCGCGGGCGGCGGGGTCGCCGCTTGGGTGGGAGGGGAAGCGCTGAGGGAGAGCCGTCGCAGTGCCGGGTATGGGGCTCAGCGATGGGACTGGGGTGCCTCGGCCTGTGTCCAGCCTCAGCGGGGATTTGTTTTTCACCGTGGCACGCCTGCCGAACGCCTCACCTCTCAGTGTAGGCTGCCGAGATGTCCAATGAGGTGTGGATGCTCTTCTGGGGCCGTCTTGATTCAAACCGAGAATCAACAAGTGTGGCTTTGGCCAATGGCCAACCACAGCAGGTGAAGCTACGGTGTGGTTCACGGGTTGTTTGTTTCCAGATGCTAGGGCAGCACAGGGCAACAAAAGGCAACAAAGCTGTGAAGGGTTTAGAGCACAAATCTTTTGAGGAGTGACTGAAGAAACTGCAATTGTTCAGTCTGGGGAAGACTATTATTGCTATCTACAACTGCCTGAAAGGAGGTTGTGGTGAGGTGCGGGTTGGCCTTTCCTGCTGGGAAGCAGCTACTGGATGAGAGGGAATGGCCTCAGGTTGCACCAGGGGAGGATCAGGTTGAATATTAGGAAATATTTCTTCTCAAAAAAAGAGTGATAAAGCACTGACACAGCTGCCCAGGAGGTGGTGGAGTCACCGTCCCTGGAGGTGTTGAAGAAACGTGTGGATTTAGTACTGAGGGACATGGTTAGTGGGCATGGTCAGGATGGTTGGAGTAGGTGACCTTAGTGATCTTTCCAGCTTAATGATTCTCTGAATCTTTATTAGCGCAGTGACTCCATCTCTATTATTACATCTCTAGCACTACAGTGGTAACTCTGTAGCAGAAGATAGAAGAGTGAGTTTTGTTAACAGGCGATGGAAATTAAAAGGCTGTTTGAGGGGAGCCCTGATGAAGGATCACAGTTTTGGAAACCAGGTTCCGTTTCCTTCACAACCAGCTTGTTTTAATCTCTTGCACAGTATTTTTAGTGTTTTATGTACAACTCATGGGGAACTTACAGTTAATTTCATTTTCACTAATGGGAGTGGAGAGGTGTGTGATGAGTTTTGGTTTTGTTATTTGGTTTGTTAGTTTTGTTTTTCTTGAATGTTGATGATGACTCCAGGCCTGGCTTGAGTCTTGGCTACTTTTTCTAGAGAGAGTTTCTGTACACAAACATCTGCAGTTAGAGTTCCCAGAGCTTCAACAAATTTGCCCTTATCATTGTCTTTGTTTCTTATATGGGCATGGGGAAGAAGGGAAAGATTGGTTTAGCACTTATTTTTTTTAACGTAGCAAACTCCACCACTTCATGTGATAGCGTCGCTTTTTTTTCCTGGGAGTATTTTCATGCCTCTCACATTTTTATAGGAGAGAAGGCTTTCTAATTAGGATTGTACTTGCCTGGATAGCATATAGTTCTAGAAAACTTAAGACTAGTGATATTAGTATATGTATTTGCCTACTCTAACTTCTGTTGATATAATGTGTAACGCTTCAGAAAATGGGGTGTGTTTTTCTGGCAAAACTATATTTATTCTATACTAAAGCTGTATGTAGCAGAAGCATGGCTTAAGACCTTCCTAACTTGTATCTTTACTATGAAAAAGTTTTCATTATAAAGTCAACCTGTCATTTGTCTTTAAGTTTTATTCTTTTCAGTCCATGTAAAGTAATTTAGTTCCTGAGGCTTTAAAATCAATGTTCAGCAAAACAGGCTATGGGATTTTGACATATACTCCTGTAGTTATCCTCAGACAGCAATGACTTTGCTTATCCAAATACACTGCCCAGAGAAATTCAGTACTGAGAGAGTTATTGATGCCTTGTAATTTATAAGACTGTTAGTTTAGTAGTTCTGAAGGGAGATCCATTTAAAAATTCTAACAGTCCCTCGGAGTTGCACTTTTCTTATCCTTGTTCTGTAAGCTGTCATTTAAAAGAAGCCTGTTTGATTGAAATGTAGCGAGGTATTTTTCAACGCATAATACTTAATGTAGAAAATAAAGAACTTGATCTTAGTAAAAATGTTAAGGCACTAAAAAAGCTGACAATTTCTGAACTGCCGTAGAGTAGAATTGTTCATATCTACTTTGAAGCCAAAGGTTTTTCATTTTTTCCTACAAGCACCTATGACAACTCAGGAATAGTTTGCAATTTGGATACTTACTGGGCACTCTGATTCTTCCAGCAATGACTTTGATGGTACAGTGTATTATCACCATTTGACAGTTCATGTGATTCTCCACCTTGACAATTAATTAATGAAGTCATACATCTGAAAAGGGCAAGCATATCAGTAAATGGCAGCAATAGTATTGCAAGAATTGCTACCTCTCATGATAAATTGCCCCAAATCTCATTTCTGGCTGACCGATTCATTTGTGTTAGAGTGTTATTAAATGTCAGCATCTTTCTGACTGTATACCATTGCTCAGTACTGAATACTTCTTCACTGTTAGATATGAGTGGAGAATGTTGTTAAAAAGGCTTGAGAGTATTTGTTGTTGCTCTTTCTTAGGTAAGTAGCAATTGTAGGAAAGCCAGAGGAACTAGATACAGGTTTGTCTGGCCTTAATTTTTAGGGGGACCAGCGGCATGATCAGCTGATGAAATTCCATCATTACTCATATGCTAATAACTTTCTCTTGTGTAGGTCAAATGTAGGGGAATTCCTAAACCACATCTAAAGTATTTTCTCAAATGCAAAGTCAGGACTGAGAATTGACTTTTAATGTGTAACTTGGGGAATAAAATGTTGTTTGTACAGATAACCATCTAGAAGCCATGTATTTGATATCAAAACTAGTTCACTGAAAATTCCAGCGAGTGTAGTAAGTGTACAGCTGTAAATGTAGAACTATGACTTAAGTAAAATTTCTTTTTTTTTGAGGCCCTTCTGCACTTCTGATTGTTTGTGAAACTGATTTATATAATGCACACACATCTTCCTACAGAAAGAGAGTTTCTGTACCTCAAAGATGAACTGTAGCCAGGGATTTGGGGCTTGTTTTTCTTTTTTTAGACATAGGTGTGCATCAGCGCAGTGTCCTGACTTGTCTCAAGCATCCTTCATTTTGTACCTGTTCACAATTTCTTATGCGAAACTCAGAATAATTGTTTTCTGAGGCATAATTTTTGTAAGTTTGTTGTGACATTTTCAGATTTAAAAAAAATTACTAAAATGAAAGTTACTTTTGAGTTTCTTTGGTCTGCATGTCAATTTTACTCTGAATTTCCTGGCTCTTAGTCTTCGCAACCCCCCTGCCACATACAGGGCCACCAGTGTTTAATACTAGATCAGGCTGCCCAGGGCCCCGTACAACCTGGCCTTGAACACCTCTGGGAATGGACAGGGCATGGACAGCCTGTGCCAGCACCTCACCACTCTCTGCATAAAGAATTTCCCCCGACAACCAACCTAATCTCCCCTCCCTCAACTTAAAGCCATTTCTCCTTGTCCTGCAGTTATCTACCCTTTCTAAGAGTTGACTTCCCTCCTGTTTGTAGGCTCCCTTTAGGTACTGAAAGGCTGCAATGAGGTCACCCCGCAGCCTTTTTCTCCAGGCTGAACAAGCCCAGCTTGTTGAAGTAGTGGAGGTCTTAAAACTATTGTTTTTAGAAAATAAATTCTGAGGTGAAAAAAGGCTTGAATTGATACCTGTTTGCAGATAAAGGAGCAGTCTGAGTACAACCATGTTACAAGACATCAAGGAGTCCATATGAGGCAAGATTATATAAGTCTGGTTTTATAATCCCAGTGTGCAAGGGAGCACTTGATTTTTGTGTTCATTTAGCTTGTGATCAAGGTTGATTGTGAAGGAAGGATAAATCATGGATCTGAGGAAACTGCTTTTCTTTGGATTTGTTATCAATGGTTACTTTTCACACTTGATGAGACAGATATGGCATAACTTCTGCTGCAAGGAACACTTTGTCTGTTTAACAGGAAAATCTATAGAACTAGACGGTAAATGTAAATACAGCTGTCAGTAGAAGATATTACCTCTTCTTAAGAATTGTGAAACTGTATTAGCTCTCTTGTCAGTGTGTTAAATGTTTGTTACATGTTCCATGAGCAGCCAGAGCTCTACGTTGTGTGTGTTAGGTGGGAAGTGAACAGAAAGTATAGTTGATTTGCAGTACAAAAACAAGTGCCTAAGTAGTAGTGCTCATAGGGATTAATGCTACTACTTAGTACTTAATGGAATCACTACTACTTCCGTTAGTAGTTTCTATACTGAATGTTAATGCTATAGGTGATCTGTGTTAACTGGTTTGGAGTAGGTAAAAACTGTTACGTTGTTTCCTGCAACCAGAACTTTTATGGTCTGTTCTGATAAGAGCAGAGAAGAAACGGGTCAGCCTTGAGTGAACTATGAGGAAATTGCTTCAGATAATTGTAAAGGTCAGTGTAGGCAAGGTATATTTTCTTATAGTGAAATAGAATCTTCTCCTAGTGAGGACATTACCGTTTATTGCTAGCTATGGGCTGTTGCTGTAACAGCATTTTTATAGCCTGCTGTGAGTCATGCTAAACTACAGCTCA